AAATAAATAAAGGTTTACGAGTTGCACGAAATTTATTATTAGACATAGTAAGTAAATACAACCTTTTTTGGGAAAAATCATTATTTATTTTATTTTAAAAAAAAAAAATCAATTTAACATTTAAATAGAATCAATTGGGAATTCCATGCGGATGTGAATTTCTTGATACGATCACACCACAATACATTGCAGATCTAGTTTCCTGGGGTGCTATTGGTGCAAGAACCACCGAATCACAAGTGCATCGCGAATTAGCTTCAGGTTTATCTGTACCTGTTGGTTTCAAAATGGTAAATACAAGTGTGGTGGAAAGAGAGTGTGTATGTGTGTATGAGTGTATTAATAATAAATATTGATTCTTTTGAAAAATATATATAGGCACTGATGGAAATATAGTTGTAGCTGTTGATGCTATCAAAGCTGCTAGTGCTAAACATAATTTCTTATCAGTCACAAAACAGGGAATAAACGCAATAGTGGCAACAGAGGTAAGCTCTACAATAAAAACAAAAAGATTGACAAAATATAACTATTCATTAAATAACCAAATAAATTAATAAATTAGGGAAATGATTGTTGTCATGTAATTTTAAGAGGTGGTGCACTTGGACCTAATTATTCATCCGAGAATGTAAAAAATGTTGTATCTAAATTAGAAGCTGCAAAACTTGCTGCACGTGTAATGATCGACTGCAGTCATGGCAATAGTCAAAAGGTGTTCGGCAAACAAGTAGATGTAGCTAAAGACATTGTGAGTATTGAATGAATATTCTCTTGTCATTGTGAATTAATTAATTAATGAATGAATTTATTGATTAATTTTTGTAGGTTGAACAACTTAAAACTTCGCCTACAGGATTCAATATAATGGGTGTAATGATTGAAAGTAATTTGGTAGAAGGTAGCATTAAATATTTTTATTTTTATTTGTGTTATGGTTATGATTATAATAATCCAATAATAATAATAACAATTATATAGGACGTCAAGATCTTCCACCAGCTGAAGGGGGAAATCTTACTTATGGTCAATCAATAACAGATGCATGTATTGGTTGGGAAACTACAGTTCAAGTTTTAGATCTGTTACGTGAAGGTGTTCATGCTAGAAGGACTCGCAATGGTAAGGTGTAAATGGGATAAATATATAAGGAGATAATAAATGAAAAATTTGATTTTCAATACATGTTATAAAGTATTTTTTATGTTTTTAAATATCCAATAAATTAAATTTATTTATTTGATTAATTAATTGATTGATTGATTAGATTTATAAAAAAAAATTGTCCAAATGAAATTTAAATCACATTAAACACATAAAAAGAACATTATATGACAAGAGTAAATAAGGTACCTACTTACCATACATAATCACTAACATTGAAATAAGAGATAAACCCTAGTTATAATCTTTCTATTAATATAAAGATGGAGATCATAATAAATATATATTAGCAGCATTGATATGTTTAGTTAAAGACACACCATCAATTGATGATTTATTGTTATTGATCAAGAAACATAATTTTGATTCAATATTAATTCCTAGAATTGAACAAGTTCCAAAATATCCTGCTATAATTAAATCTCAATTTATAAGTGAAGACAATTATGGCCAATCAATTACCATGAGAATGATAAAAAGTGAGTATATATGAAAGAGGGAAAGGGAAGCAAGAAGGAGTGAAGGAGATTTTTGTTATTTATTTTATAATTATGATGTATATTACAAAAATTTATAAACTTAACCTATTTATGTTCATAATAACAAATATAGTAGAAAATAAAGATATAAAATAGCTAAAAGGATATATGCAAAGAG